TTTTAAATGCCATACTGATTGCCATATTGATCTGAGGATATTTTATATGTTAATAATACAATCACATGACGTTAATCATTATGGATTCTGTTTGATAAAAATATTGCTATTTAAGCCTTGTTTTTCATGAAAATGCATTTCTTTTATCTTGAAGTCATATTGTTTTTTACAGAACTTTATGAACTTGGAAGGAAGTGGGATTTGCCCAAAGACTTTGCAACTTTCCTGAAACATATTAGTGTGACTATTTTAAGAAAAGGGAGAGCTATTGTACTCACCCACATGTCTGCATCATTTAATTTTGATTAAGTTTCTGTGTGCAAGTTGGTATCTCCAAAACTACTAGGAAATGGGTTGAAACTTTGAAACACACTTATTTGAGACTACAATAGGAGGTCACTGCCCCAAGGCCCATAACTCTAACAGGGATTTTGACAGAATGATGGCCCTTTTTGACGTTAAAAAGTCGTATAATATCCATACTGGTGCTTTAATATCAAGCTCTAAGAATAGTCAAGTATGCTGTCCTCCTGACAGCTTTTGTTTAAATTTCCCAAGGTGTTTATATTTAGAACAAAAAGAGTATGTTCTATCAACAAAACTAATTCTAAAATCTAAGAAGTCAGGAGTAAGGTGATAAGGAGTAAGATTTTAACTTTTTAAGATTTCTCAAATTCCCCAAAATGCCAAATATATTTTTTCCAAATTATTCCAGGGACCTTTTCACAAAAATAGACCCAGTAAGCTTAAGCAGGAAAAGGCCTTGCTCTAAAAAGAAAATAAGCAAAGTTAATTAATGATTATGTTTAAAGTATAGATATGACTATGAGATAGTATTCAATCAACAAATACGTAACATGCCATTGTGGAAATGGTACAGTTTTTGGTTCACCCATACCTGCCTTGACTGTGATGTAAGCATTATGTTAATGTACTATTGTCAGTATCAGTCATTTGCTCATTAAAAAGATGTTTTACTTGTATCCGTAATATGTTCCTACATGGCCCGTGTTTTTCCCTATGAAACATGCTTAGAAGGAACTTAAGTGTCTGTAAATATACAACAAAATCACTGTTGAGGATCTCTATTTAGACAATTTGTGATGAAACATTAAAAATGCAACTTGCTGAAAATAAGTACAGAAACAAATCAAGCAAAATATAGCTTGATATCAGGTACGGCAGCATTTATTTATTGGAATCCAAATTATATATCTAAATCAGTGATTTTATTGTTGTTTGGATGTGCAGCATCATAACTTGTGATATAATTACTCGCATCCGAACTCCAAACAGTGTTTTAATCAATAAAATGATAAAATCTATAAAATGATAAAATCACTTTTTGGGATATTATTTCTTAATTATCCTATTGGCTTTTTTTTTCAGCCTGTGGAGGAGTCTTCACTTCACCAACTGGAATGATCCGGTCTCCCTATTTCCCCGAACCTTATCCCAGTAACAGGGAGTGTGAATATTTCATAAATCAGCCAGCTGGAACTAGGGTGACCTTGACATTCAACACCTTTGACATTGAGGGAGGACCCTCTGAGGGAAATTGTGCATATGACTATTTAGAGGTAAGGCTGCAGAATAATAATAAGCTGGGTGCCAATTTCTTTAAAATTTTGATGGCGTTGGGAAGGTCATTCATTTATTTACCAGTTTAAAATTATGTTTCTGATAATGTAAGTAATGAAATAAAATTTTGAATTGACAGCTTAGGCTGACTTTAGCTAACGGCCATAACTCTTGCGTTGAAAAATTAAGAATTAAATAGAATATGTATATCTTAAGAAACATATTGAACTTTATGTGGCTCTCTTCCTATTTGTAGATATTCTATGTCAATTTTCATAACATTTAATGTTAACTTAATCGGGCCTTTTTCAAAAGTAGGGAAAAGGAAAATTTGGATGTAAATAACAAGGTATTTTTGCAGATGGGGGAACATTTTTTTGATGTAAATTGAATTTTATTGGAAATCTGAATTATTTTAAAGAAAATTCTTGGGGAAATATGTCTGTATAAATGGCCCCTGCTATAGAAAAAGAAAAGCCCTGACTTAATATCATACATGTATATTTCAGTGACTAGCATCAAGTCAAGTAAACTACATTAAATTATAAGCAGTTAAGACAAAATAAATGAGCCGTGTCATGACAAAACCAAAATACTGGGTTTGCGACCAGCATGGATCCAGACCAGCCTGCGCATCTGCGCAGTCTGATCAGGATCCATGCTGTTCGCTATCAGATTCTCTACTTGTAATAGGGTTGGTAAGCAAACAGCATGGATCCTGATCAGACTGCGAGGATGCGCATGCTTGTCTGGATCCATGCTGGTCGCAAACGCACTACGTTGGTTTTGTTGTGACACGGCTCAAATGTTGAAACAGTTATCACCTTTTTCAAATTGAAAACCTTGTTCTACACATAATTAATAGATCAATTTCCTGTCTTTGGAAAATGCCACTGTTTCTAATTTACAGTCAAAGAAATTACATATACATAAATATTATAAATCATCAAAGTAATGTTACGTACATCTGGGTAGAAATTAAAAAATGTTGCTAAGTAACAACAAATTAAATATACAGATTGACATTTCCAATAAACCATGGTCAGTAACCTTAATGACCATAGTCACACCATGGTCAGAAACCATGCTTGCGACCATTTAACATAACACGGTCAACCATGGCTAAGCATGACCTGTGAGCCATGTTAGTTCATGTTATTTCCTGATAAAACATGATACATTTCACCTGGGTAAGTTTTTATTCTGTGACATTCTACATGTATTTGGAATAAACAAATTACAGATCTGAAAAGACAGTTGCCTCACAGTATTTTTTTTAAATGTCTGAAGATGTTGTATTATTTGCCTGTTAATATAAAACATAATGTCACACATGGACCTTTAATTGTTACAATTTTTGATAATTCTGGAGAAAATTTTAATCTTAATGACTGATAAATGGTTTTTTTCATCTCTGTGCGCCTTTGTGTAGTGCTGTGGGGTCAACGCTTACTATTGTAATGTAGTACATCTATCAAAGCTATGGTTACAAAAAAATTTAGGGATCAAAAAGTTTTTTCTACAGAAAAATATTAAAGAATTAGTGGTGCAAATGAAAGCCTAAGTGTTTATCAACTTTACTGTTAGAATTTATGTCCTATTTGATATATAGTGAATAACATACCACTGTCTTTTGATATTAATTTTGTCAGGGGAGGCTCAGATATAGGCTGGAAGGGCGGATCTTGGCAATTTTTATAGAAAGGGGCATTTTTGTTCAAAGAAATAATTCTTAAAATCAAATTTCCCTGCCCCTGAAAATGGTGGCCATTTTTTTTTCGACTTGAGATTATTATCCTTTAATAATAGATACAACAGAATGTAATAGTATAAGATCCTTACCTTTAAAAACCAATATAAAAATACACAGATGAAGCACACATTAAAAACCAATCTAAAAGTACACATATGAATCACATAAAGTTTACTGCACTTTTTTCCATGAAATGTCAAATTCAAAAGTTCACCATAATTTCAGTTTCAAAGTCAAAGTCAGATTTGCACAAACATGCCTGTTATTATTTTAGTGAAATAATTTACTCAGTTATTTGATAACAATCTAGTGAAAAGAAGTAAATAGATCAAAGCATTTACAAGTTCTCCAAGAAAATCAGATAGCCTGTTTGTTCCGGTTCAATGATTTTTGTCAGAGTTATGGCCCTTTAATAACTTTTATTTTTAAAGTTTGTCCAGACTACTTCTCTTATACCACTAATGCAATTTCAATGAACTTTACAGGATTGATCTGTAGCTCAAGTCCTTGGGCATATTGCACAGGTTTTCAGGTTGAATGATTTTTGTGTCGCCTCTACGGAGTAGTGGCGACATATAGGGATCACTTCTCCGTCGTCTGTCTGTCTGTCTGTCCGTCACAAAACTTGTCCGGACTACTCCTCATAAACTACTGGTGCAATTTCATCCAAACTTTACAGGAATGATCAGTACCAAGTCTTGTTGTGCATATTGTCAGCATTTTCCGGTTCAATGATTTTTGTCAGAGTAATGGCCCTTTAATAATTTTTATTTTTAAAGTTTGTCCGTACTTCTTCTCTTATACCACTAATGCAATTTCAATGAAACTTTACAGGATTGATCTGTAGCTCAAGTCCTTGCGCATATTGCACGGGTTTTCCGGTTGAATGATTTTGGCCGAGTTATGGCCCTTAGACAAAAAGGTTTTTTTTTCTGTGTGTTGCCAGATACACAAAAGCTTGTCCGGACTACTCCTCATAAACTACTGGTGCAATTTCATCCAAACTTTACAGGAATGATCAGTACCAAGTCTAGTTGTGCATATTGTCAGCATTTTCCGGTTCAATGATTTTTGTCAGAGTTATGGCCCTGTTATAATTTTTATTTTTAAAGTTTGTCCGGACTACTTCTCTTATACCACTAATGCAATTTCAATGAAACTTTACAGGATTGATCTGTAGCTCAAGTCCTTGCGCATATTGCACGGGTTTTCCGGTTGAATGATTTTTAGTTTTGGCCCTTTGATAAAAAGGTGTTTTTTTCTGTGTGTTGCCAGATACGCAAAAGCTTGAGCGGACTACTCCTCATAAACTACTGGTGCAATTTTATCCAAACTTTACAGGAATGATCAGTACCAAGTCTAGTTGTGCACTGTCCGTCTGTCTGTCCGTCTGTCTCAAAATTTGTCCCAACATGAAATTGGCCATCATGAGGCGACACATGTGATTACTGATCGCTCTTGTTCGCCTAGTTATGGCCCTTTGATAAAAAGGTGTTTTTTTCTGTGTGTTGCCAGATACACAAAAGCTTGTCCGGACTACTCCTAATAAACTACTGGTACAATTTCTTCCAAACTTTACAGGAATGATCAGTACCAAGTCTAGTTGTGCATATTGTCAGCTTTTTCCGGTTCAATGATTTTTGTTGTGAGTTATGGCCCTTTGATAATTTTTATTTTTAAAGTTTGTCCGGACTACTTCTCTTTTACCACTAATGCAATTTCAATGAAACTTTACAGGATTGATCTGTAGCTCAAGTCCTTGCGCATATTGCACGGGTTTTCTGGTTGAATGATTTTTGGCAGAGTTATGGCCCTTTGATAAAAAGGTGTTTTCTCTGTGTGTTGCCAGATACACAAAATATTGTCCAGACTACTCCTCATAAACTACTGGTGCAATTTTATCCAAACTTTACAGGAAATATCAGTACCAAGTCTAGTTGTACACTGTCCGTCTGTCACAAAACTTGTCCCAACATGAAATTGGCCATCATGAGGCGACACATGTGATCACTGATCGCTCTTGTTATGTTTATAATATGATGTGGACATTAATGATTTTGAAACAAATTATGACATCATTTCATAAATTTGGTACTTAACTATGAGCTATCTATTTTGTTCGCAGTTGAAAACGAAATAAAAATTACATCTTGAATTGAGACTTGCAAGGATATGAGATAACATCGTAGATTTTGAAGACCAGTTGGTAAAAATAAGAATATAAGCTACTGGAAAAAGTCTGGTAAAATGGGCAGTGCTTATTTTTCATATCAATGTTTGTACATCCATTTTTATTGTATGATTGTCATTATGTCACTCATACTATATTGATGGTGTCTTATAAAACGTTGCAGATTTCCATTGGCGTAGGATTTTTTAAATTGTTCGATTGTTGATAAGATGTGGCCCTGAGGTTACTTACCACTGTCAGATCTTGTATCTCATGACAAAACACTGTCACACCCTTGATATCTGTAATCTTCACCAACTGATTTTGTTTTTTATGTTCATTTTTCTTGAGGGATTTTCATTTTTCCAGAATGTGTCACAAGATATTGTTAAGCACTGAGTTATAAGGTTTAAATTTTGTTCAAAAAATAAAAGGTTAAAAAAGATGTTCCTAAGGTAACTGTCATTACGGACAATAATGAAACCATGGTAACAGAAAAATGTAAGTCTCTCTTAAAACATAAACTGCTGAAACATAGGGGTTTTATTTATATCCAATTCAACAGACCTTCTGAAACAACCGATTCCGCCGAGTGGGATATTTCAATTTATCTACAGGCTGAAAAAACAAACAGCATTTTAACAGCATTTCAATCGATGATATGGATTGCCAATCTGTTAATTATGATAACCAAGGCAACATATAATAATTATCATAATTATCAATAAATTTATACAGTGAATAAACAACTCAACTATTTATTTCATAATTAAAGGCCTCTGGCCCAAAATGATTATATCAAACCATTAAAACAGCATTCATAAATGGTTATGTCAATATAACAGTAACATTTATATGAGCCGCGTCACGACAAAACCAACATAATTGGTTTGCGACCAGCATAGATCCAGACCAGCCTGCGCATCCACGCCTTATGACCTATACTGTGTTTGTGTGACGAAAAAAACCCAGTCAAACAAACAAATAATAAAACTCTTAAATTGGTTATTCTAAATGACCAGGCACGGACTTGAGCTACTTACATTATCATGCCAGTTCTGAGCAATACAATCTATCAGCCTGTAAAATCTAAACAATTTATATTCACCAACAGTTTGTGATTTCCATGTATATCCAAATCTATATTTGAATAAAAGTAATTTAATACTTTTTGCCCAACATTTCCTTCCAGCGTTATTAAGAACATATAACATTATGAAGCATTGTTTTGGGTATTTGTGAGAAGGCGTTTGCAATAATTTACACCAGTAACATATATACTTTATGTTATACGTGCATATGTAATGCATATAGGTAGACTTCCACATTCTCCTAACACCTTATGCATGTTTTTGTAGTTTGTCGTACATATAAAAGTTTTTTACAAAATTAATTATGTATAATTTTATGTATTATAATTCTAACTTATGAATGGGATTACTGAGTGACCAAGGCCCATAATTCTTACATGAATTTTGACAAAATGATGGCCCTTTTTGAACTTAGAAAAATCTACATTATTCAGACTATTGTTTTACCATTAAGAACTGAGATGGGCACGGCCATGTTGATAGATTATTGTATGCATGATACAATGAAATGAAAAGCTCACTGAAAAATTTTTTTTTTTGTTTTCCAGGTTCGGGATGGAGGTTCAAGTAGTTCCCCTGTAATGGGAACATTTTGTGGCCCGCAAGTACCGGACCCTCAGACAACAACCGGAAATCTTATGTATCTAAAGTTTGTTACAGACGGGTCGGTTCAGAACCTAGGATTTGAGGCGACGTACGAAGCTGGCGAGGGCGGATGTGGAGGCCAACTCACTGATGAAACAGGTATGTGTGAATACTTAGGTTGGGTTATTAATCTTTATGCCTCAAAAACAAATAGATTTTTCTTTATTTATGATATGCAAACAAGAGTTTTGTATTATTTAAATAATGGTTTACGAGCATGTTACATGCCTACCACCTAAAAGAAGTGGTGCTTTATGCGAGATTGTCATTTCAGTAGCAAAGTTGTAAACAAAGTAGTATTTTGACTTTCATATAAACGCTAAATCACTATATTGTACTTATCGCTAAAATAAAATAACAGACGAAAGAAAAAGGTTCAGGTAATTGGTAAATGGCTAACTTTTTGGAAACTATAACAAGACTCCAAAAATATAAGCATTTTGAGGAATAAAAATAAAAGTATTTCTGATTCATGATGGGCGCTTAACCTGCTATATTTTTACATAATTATCCCCCTTTATTCACTAAAAAAATTTCAAATATCACTCAAATCGTGTCAGAAATCTTGTCAGAAATCAGTTCCTTAAATATCTTACTTGGAATTTCTTAAACAATCCTTTGAACAAAAACAAAGGTAAGTAGGTACAGAAAGTTTACATATGATATAATAACCTACAGGACAATGCCCAGGCATGATTAAGCTTTTCCAAAAAACAAGTAGGTAAAGAAAACAGATTCTCAGATGTGACTTTTATACATTTATTATGAAAACACTACACAGATTTATGTAAATATTACAGGAAGTATTCAATCTCCTGGCCATCCTAATGTATATCCACATGGAGTGAACTGTTCGTGGAGTATTCTAGTACAGCCCGGTCTTGTGGTGCGATTTACCTTTCATACATTTAGTATAGAGCAGCATCCAAATTGTATCTACGATTCGGTGGCCCTGTACGATGGTTCCAGCACAGATGAGTCCAATCTGATTGGACGGTTAGTTTTTATTTAATATATTTTGCAGCACGTCTTTTGTTGAATAACCACAATTCTTGCATATACAACTTGATTTCTAGTGTTTTGAACCAGTGTGCTATAAAATGACATTTTACAGCCTTGGTGGAAGATAAGTCACTTGCCTTAAAATGATTTAACCCTGACACCTACATGTATATAAATGAATTGATTATAGGAAAAAGTTATTAACCCATTATGAATGAATGCTATGTTAACCCTTCCAAAGTAAAAAATCCCCCAAAAAAACCCAGCAGTTCCCTTCGCCCGAGAACATTGAAGGTCTGAGGAAAGCCGTTGTTGTGTTTAAGTCGTATTTTATCAGTACGGGGGAATGAAAAAATATTGATCTAAACACATTGTTTCAAATCTCAGGATTTTCAATTTTCATTGGTCAGTGCACATTCTGTGCTGGTTTTTGACCAATCAAATACAGAAGATCTGAGATTAGGCTTAGAAAATTTCTAGATAAGTTGAAATAAAATGGAGGCTTTTATTATAATCAAGAAAGAAAAAATATATTGAAATCAAACTGAATTTAGCCGTATGAATGTATGTAAAACCATAAAATTGCATTCAATTCAAAATTTACATTGTTCTTTCAAATTTATATGCCTAATAGGTCAACTTGTTTTGGACTGTTATAATAACTGTACAATATTACAGGTATTGTGGTTCATCCATGCCACCTGTTGCCACAACAACCAACAACATGATGACCATACAGTTTATATCCGATGAAAGTGTATCAACAGAAGGTTTCTCGGCATCGTATGTTGCCTTGAATGCTTCTACATGTAAGTTCTAAACTTGAATCATCCTTGAAACTTCTAAATGAATTGACCTTTTGCTCTGCTAATTTTTCACTATATACACATTGTATTAAAGCGCTTTGTTGCTGAAGTTTACAGTGGTCCAAAGAGATTTATTTTTGTCTGAAATTATGGTGGAAAAAAAAACCTGAGGTCCTCTTAATAAAATAGCCTGAAACCAGCAATATTTCATCTTAACTATGTTAACATGACTGTTAAAAACTGAGGCACATTTGAGACATTTACAATATGAGGAATGTCTTAGACTGTTAAAATGCCTCAGACTGTTAAAAACTGAGGCACAATTGAGACATTTACAATATGAGGAATGTCTTAGACTGTTAAAATGCCTCAGACTGTTAAAAACTGAGGCACATTTGAGACATTTACAATTTGAAGAATATCTCAGACTGTTTAAATGTCTCAGACTGTTAAAAACTGAGGCACAATTGAGACATTTACAATATGAGGAATGTCTTAGACTGTTTAAATACCTCAGACTGTTAAAAACTGAGGCACATTTGAGACATTTACAATTTGAAGAATGTCTTAGACTGTTAAAATGCCTCAGACTGTTAAAAACTGAGGCATATTTGAGACTGTTACAATATGAGGAATGTCTTAGACTATTAAAGGAACTCCACTCATGTCCAAAAGCCTTAAAACATAAAATTGGAATTTCTTAAATAGATCAACTGGGGCACTTAAAACAAAAAGATATTCTAAAGAGATTGTGAAATATACTCTTAAAAAATAAATTTGAATATTGTATTTTGTGCTATTGTAAGCTCGATTTGAGTGATAAGAGTTTCAATGCTTTTCATTTTTGAGTCAGTTTTTGTGGCATAATTGCCTAAGACTATTACTATCTGTGGCAAGACTTAAATACTACTTATGGCATGCCCGAGACTGTAGCAACCTGTGTTTTGCCTGAGACTGCCATAATCTGTAGCTTGCCTGAAAATTTTACAACCTGAAGTTAAATAAAAAAAATTATCACACTCAAAAGTTGTTTAATTTTTCAAGGTCATTCATTTAAGATCATGTTGGGGGTATGTGGCAATAATTAAAACTTCTTTGTTAAACATAATTATGGCATTGAATTGCAATTTTAAGTTTTTCTTTGTTTAGTATGCGGCAATGATTATACTGATGCCACTGGGGTGATTACAAGTCCAAATTTTCCCAACGGTTATCCACATCAACGAGAGTGCACATGGACTATAACAGCACCAGAAGGGAACCAGATTCTTATCAATGTAACAGACTTCAACTTGGAAAGTCATCCGAATTGTAACTATGATTACCTAGAAATCAGGTAAGTGGGGTTTTCTTATGTTCAACATTTATCCCACTTTTTTAGCTCACCTGTCACTTTGTGACAGGTGAGCTTTTGTGATCGCTTTTCGTCTGTCGTCCGTCCGTCCGTCGTCTGTCCGTAAATTTTTACTTTAAATGACATCTCCTCATATACCACGAAGCCAATTTCATCCAAACTTCACAGGAATGTTCCTTTGGTGGTCACCTTTAGAAATTGTTAAAAGAATTTAATTCCATGCAGAACTCTGGTTGCCATGGCAACCGAAAGAAAAAACTTTAAATATCTTCTTTTAAAAAACCATAAGAGCTAGAGCTTAGATATTTGGCATTAAACATCTTCTAGTGAGTGTCTACCAAGTTTGTTCAAATAAAAGCCCAGGGGTCAAAATTGGCCCCGCCCTGGGGGGTAATTGATTTTCCCTATATGCATATAGTAAAAACTTAAAAAATCTTCTTTTAAAGAACCCAAAGAGCTAGAGCTAAGATATTTAGCATGAAACATGTTCTAATGGGTGTCTACCAAGTTTGTTCAAATAAAAGCCCTGGGGTCAAAATTGGCCCGGCCCCGGGGGGTCATTGATTTTCCCTTTATGCATATAGTAAAAACTTAAAAATCTTCTTTTAAAGAACTCAAAAAGCTATGGCTAAGATATTTAGCATCAAACATGTTCTAATAGGTGTCTACCAAGTTTGTTAAAATAAAAGCCCTGGGGTCAAAATTGGCACCGCCTCGGGGGTCATTGATTTTCCTTATATGTGTATAGCAAAAACTTAAAAAATCTTCTTTGAAAAAACCCAAATAGCTAGAGTTAAGATATTAAGCATGAAACATCTTTAAGTGGGTGTCTACAAAGTTTGTTCAAATAAAAGACCTGGGATCAAAATTGGCCCCGCCATGGGGGTCATTGATTTTCTTTATATGTGTATAGCAAAAACTTAAAATCTTCTTTGAAAAAAACCAAATAGCTAGAGTTTAGATATTAAGCATGAAACATCTTCTAGTAAGTGTCTTCAAAGTTTGTTCAAATAAAAGCCCTGGGATCAAAACTGGCCCGGCCCCAGGGGTGTCATTGTTTTTAACTATATGTGTATAGTAAAAACTTTAAAAAAAATCTTCTTTTAAAAAGCCCAATGAGCTAGAGCTTAGATGTTTAGCATGAAACATCTTCTTATGGGTGTCTACCATGTTTGTGCAAATAAAAGCCCTTGGGTTAAATTGGCCCTGCAACGTTGGGGGGGGGGGGGTTGGGGGGGCTATATACAGGTGAGCGACCTCAGGGCCATCATGGCCCTCTTGTTTTAAAATGTACTTATCTGATTTGATATCAAAATGGACTGTTTTGATGAAAGCAAATTGTCAAAAGTTCAAATGCTGTAGTTTGGTAAGCAACAGTATACAGTTATTTTATGGGTATTTGTGGAACAGTCAAAACTGTTGTCCCTCGGTATCAGTGATGACATTTGGAACTGTTGCACTTGGACGAAATGAAGGCTGAGGGCAACAGTTCCAATTGTCGTCCCTGATACCGAGGACTGTTCCATTCAGCCGGTCAACAGTTCATTTCATCACTGTGCATGTACAAGATTTCTGTTACACAGTTGTAAATTTGAATTTGTATTTATAGAAGGCATTAGGTAATAAAATAATCTGTTGTCACACTGCATGAATTAACGGCTATATTGTCTCTAAACTGATAACTGTTGTAAAGTATGGGATGTTTCTTCTATACCAACATGATTATATACAATTTCATGAAGATTAAAAGTACAAAAAAGAGGCAATGTAATTTTATAGTTTCCTTAATATGATATATTAATTTTCAGAAATGGTGGTTTCCCCAGTTCGCCTTTGGTTGGAAAGTATTGTGGGACATCAGTTGATAGGATTATCATATCTCATAGTAACAGAATGTTCATAAAGTTGGTGACTGATCAGTCATTATCTGCACCCGGCTTCAGACTTTCTTACGACTCGACGGCAACTGGATGCGGGGCCGACCTTACAACGCCCACCGGAAGTTTTGTTTCTCCCAATTATCCAAATCCATATGGTCATAATGCAGAATGTTTCTATACAATAACTGTGTCGAGAGGAAGTCGGGTGCAGCTTACTTTCATTGACATGGACATCGAAGTTCATGTCAACTGTAACTACGATTATGTAGAGGTAGGGTATTTGAGCGTTTCAGACCTTCATGTAGGAAATTATAGGAATACTAGTACAATTGTTGATAATCTCGGTTTTAATACAGTCATCACTGTTACATAATTCTACGTTACTTATGTACAAAACAAAAAAACAGAACTTAACGCCAGTGCTTAAGCCGGTGCTAGGGGGCGTGGACAGTAATTTGCACTTGACAGTACCATCCATGAACTGGCTCAATCAAACCGAGCCTGCAACAATTTCACTTTCTCTCTATTTTAACGATCTGTTTAATTCCAAACCAGATCTATAGCAATTGTCTCATAATAACAATACATGACTGTATGTATATTTACCAGGAACTTAATAAGTTACGATTCTGCAATGAAATATATGTATAACGTACTGAAACAAATTATGATTAAAGTATAGAAAATATTTTTGGTGTTTTATAATTTATGAATGAATAAAAAATTAGATAAGGTAACAATAAAACAGTGATGATAATTTATAAGGGCAAACTTGATTTGGAACTATTCGTAATTTTTCTAAAAGGATGCTGAGGGGCATTTCGTTTAGCATTGTTTTGTTTTTTTGCTAGATACCTGTAACAGTTTTATTTTATCTTTGTATCTAGGTCAGAGAAGGGGGCTCTGCTGGTAGTTTACTTGGAAAGTTTTGTGGTAACACTAATCCCGATCCTGTGACCTCGTCAGGCAATGTGTTATGGGTGAAGTACAGGACAGACTACTCTGTGTCAGGGAGAGGATTCCATGCTTTCTATGCCAGCTGTAAGTATAATTCACATCTTGACCTTTAACCTGCAGAATTTGGCCACACATGAATATGGAAAGTCCTTAACTTGCTGAATTTACCCGCACTTGAATATGGAAAGTCCTTAACTTGCTGAATTAACCAACACTTGAATATGGAACAGTCCTTAACTTGCTGAATTTACCCACACTTGAATATGGAACAGTCCTTAACTTGCTGAATTTACCCAAACTTGAATATGGAACAGTTCTTAACTTGCTGAATTTACCCACACTTGAATATGGAACAGTCCTTAACTTTCTGAATATACCCACATTTGAATATGGAACAATCCTTGACTCGCTGAATTGACCAACACTTGAATATAGAAATGTCCATTCACAGTTTATGGGATTTTGATATCAATATAGTATAGAAATTGAATTGCCAACAGTATAGACCTTGGTCATACTGTACTGTTGTGTAAGCTGGTCCAGCTCTATTCTGGTGGCAAAGGGTAATCACTTTTGGTTTCTGAAGGTTAAGGAGAAAAGGAAGTCCAACTTACAAAATCTTATTGTAGCTCACAATTTATATTCTCTATTATATAGTCTGTATTAAAAATCATCATTTATGTTTATTTTTATCCTAAAGATAAACTTGAAAGTTTAAATAGTAGAATATTACCTATAACATCAAGCTTGTAGCATGCAAAAGTCGACAACAAAGACTTATCTGAAAATCTCAATACAACCTTGTTTCATCTCAGTATTTGCAACATTTTGCAAGTTCAAAGAAAATCAACTTGCAATGTTCAATTTCCCTTGACATTTTGCCAGGTTGCTAGTGTCACAATTCTTTAATGTTTTAATTTGTTCAAATTTTGACTCATAAAATGATTTGAATTTCATTTGTATTTTAGTGTGTTCAAATTTTGACACCTCATCAATTTAAACTTTTTCAACATATTTTTTTTTATGTTCAAATTTGACACTTTATTGTTTTTCAAACTTCAATCAGATGTTATTATGTTAAAATTCATTAGGTATTCTACTTTTTACATGTTTTTCATATTTTCAGTGTGTTCAAATACCTTGACAGGATTTAGCGGTGTTATTGAGAGCCCCAACTTCCCGAACCCATACCCGCACAACCGTAACTGTACCTGGATAGTACAGGCTGCTCAAGGGAATACACTCAACGTGTCGTTCTCACATTTCAATATCGAGGCCCATCCAAATTGCCAATATGATTATTTACAGGTTAGATTTATGAACAATTATAAACCTTTAAATTGTTTATTAAGGGGTGTTCGTACGCTTAGTGGGTTCAAGGTTTGTTACTCTAGACCACTTGCCTCCACAGTGTAAGGTTTGAGCGCAACATAAAATTGTCACATTTCATGTGAGAAAACTGATCCTGAGTTGCTTCAAGGGTATCAGTGGTTCTTACTCAGGGTGCCGTTTTGCCCTGAAAAAATGTTTAGAGGGGCACCTGAGGTGTTCCCACCAGTAAAGCTGGAAAGTCACAATATGACCAGACTTATATTGTGTTATTGAGAAGTAAAACCCAACCAAAAAAAAAAAGTTCTTTGAAATTGAAATTATGTTCATTTAATAACTGTCAATTTGAGTTTTGTTATTCAAGATTCTTGTTATTTTGTTTTGCATTTTACCATTCTTATTTTGACAAACTGATTAGCAATTATCTGTCTTATTTTCTTAAAATTCTGTTTTGCAAGTTTTATCTTGACAGACTGGTCTGTTTCTTGACAAACTCGGCTTTTCAATTTGAATTTTTTTTTAACAGACTGGTTAGCAATTGAAATAATTTTCTTGACAGATTCTTTTACTAGACTGGTTATTAATAGATTCTTTTACGAGACTGGTTATTAATGGATTCTTTTACCAGACTCCTTATTAATGGATTCTTTTACCAGACTCGTTATTAATGGATTCTTTTACCAGACTGGTTATTAATAGAATCTTTTACCAGACTGGTTATTAATAGATTCTTTTACCAGACTGGTTATTAATGGATTCTTTTACCAGACTCGTTATTAATAGACTCTTTTACCAGACTCGTTATTAATGGATTCTTTTACCAGACTCATTATTAATGGATTCTTTTACCAGACTGGTTATGAATAGATTCTTTTACCAGACTGGTTATTAACAGATTTTTTTACCAGACTGGTTATTAATAACTGTTTTCAGGTAAATGATGGTGCTTCAGTGACATCAAATTCTCTTGGGACATTCTGTGGTATGAATCTCCCGCCTCCATTGGTCTCGACCCAGGAAAACCTTTGGATAAAGTTTGTATCGGATTTCTCAGTAGCCACAGCTGGATTCAGGCTGGAATATATCACAGATGGTTTGTACAAAATGTTATATTTTAGACTGCTTTGAATCTTTGATTTAAAGGGAATTGGCCTATAATGGAAAGTCTGTATTACCATAAATTACTCTGTATCGTATGAACAACAGACTATGACAGAATTTTATTGCATGCTTTTTAGTGATTTATAGAAATAGATATAAATATCATAAATATAAAACTGGTAATTTCACTGTTTGAAACATTGAAATTACCACTTTGATAATTTCACTGTTTTGAATTTAAGCCCCTTACGTTGTTTCAGTGAAATACCAGTGTGCACAGTACTGGGTACCAACTTAATGATGTGACGTCGTAAATGCAGGCTGTCCAGCGTCCCTAAAATTCCTAAAAAATCCTAATTTTTTTCAGTTTGGCTAAAATTCCTAAAAAAATGTAAAATTCAAAGGGAATTCCTAAAAATGCCCTATTTTTTCACTGAAATTCCTATTTTTTTTATCTTTTGTTATAACATATCCCGTAACAACCTTTTTTCAATAAAAACCTGAATTTTAACACAGTCAGGAGCAGATGTTTCATGTTATCAAACATGTTTGTTTTTAAATGGAACAATAAAAAATTGTCCGACTTTGCTCAAAATAGTCACTTGTTTAAAATGGAGATAAAAAAATTTCAAGCAAGTTATATTTTTTATTTGCTACAGAGTTTTACCATTTACCTGTCTTAGGTGTATTTAAAGGTTCCACTAAATTTCAAGGGGACCTTTTTTTAATAAAATCTTAATTTGTTATAAGTTCTTTTCAAGTGATGACTGTAGAATAGATCTTTTTTTAAGTGATACAAGCTTGCAGATCTAGACAAGTTTTCATAATTTGGTAATATTTATAAAGTGGGTAAGGTAAAACTAGCTGTAATGATTGGATGCTTTTACCATACTAAGAAGTGACACCTTCAGCTGCCCTTTTTGTACACATTAACATTTAAGTCATACCAATGCAATGCAGTAGCGTAGCTACTATTAGGCCATGAAGGCACGGGCCTACAATTTGGTCAAAGAAATTGACCCATTTTCATAAGTTCCAAAATACAATAAAAACAGGCGGCAAGGATGGGGTTGGTAGTGGGTTCAAGCCGTAAAGTTGTGTGTATTGATTTACAATCCTCAGTAAAGTTTGCATCTAATCAAATTCATAGTTTATTAATTATTGTTTTGATAGTTTTTACTTGAACATACTAGGAACGTGCATTTTGCTCTTTTTAATCTGAACTAGTTTTTTGGTTTTCTGGGGGCTAAGCCCCCAGACCCTTTTATGTGCCTACAATTGAAAAAAGCTGGCTACGCCTCTGCAATGTACAGTATATATGTTATAACATTTAGTTGTATGTTTTTTTTTTAAATCTGGAAAATAACTGTTAAAAATCATTGAATAGATTGACATGTTGTGAAATGTTCTACAATTGTTAGTAGCCCTGATTTAATCTTTAACAAATTTTCAGTGGTGAATACCCTGCTGTTTGAATATAGGTTTAAAATATTCCTGGAATGACCCTGAGTGGATCATATCATTTTATCGTTTTTTCATGAAAGATCAAGACTTGTTCAAAATGTACCAAGCTTAAAATGAATAAATGTGATAAATTTTTTATGCAATTTATAGCTAGAATAAATTTAAAGCATAATTTCTCCTTCCATTTACTATTGGCAAATAACAGTTTAACTAATTAACTAATTGGTTTGGTCCGGGATACTCATAAA